ATATCACTACAATTATGAAACTTCACCAGTTAAAACTACACAGCGAGACCAACCAAAGTGTACCATAAAGAACCAATAAACCAACATAAGCCAACAATGTGATATAATGGAACTACGGAATAATTAACAACACCAATAGAGAAACAACATTTAACAAGAAGCAATTAGTCATGGAAGCATCAATAAGCAAGTAGAAATTAAGATATGAAAGCAATATATAGGGAAACGGGGAAAGGAAACAGGCTAAACAGGTAATTTGGCGACGCATAGGTGCTCGTCACCACACCTATACGCCACACACATGGTATTTCACATAGCAAGCAAGTTGGGGATCCCTAATCCCTCAAGTCAAGGTTAGACCAAACACTTACCTCAAGCCAATGGGTAATTCACAGCTCAAATACCACTTTACCTCTCGATTCCTCCACCAATCCACTCGTATCTAGCCATATGTAACTTAATAACATCAATAAACGCTAAAGAAACCAATTCCAATGCATAATTATAGATTTCCCAACATTTTTCCCAAAAAGTCAAAAATCGACCCCGGGCCTGCTTGGTCAAAACTCGAAATTCGGACCAAAACCCGATTAACCATTCAGCCCCGAGCCCGGATATATAATTGGTTTTGGAAACAACCTCAATTTGAGGTCCAAATCCCCAAATTTTGAAATTCCTAAGTTCTACCAAAAAACACCCAATTCCACCATGAAAACCCATAGATTTTAAGATGAAATCTTGTAAAAAGATGAAATAGATTGAAAAAAATGAGTTAGGAATCAATTACCTATGATTTGAGGAAGAACTACTCTTTGGAAAATCGCCTCTTAGAGTTTAGGTTTTGAAAATTTGGGAAATGAATCAAAATCCCGTCTAACTCCCTTTTTGCACTGTTGCAGATGTCACATTTGCGACCTGAGCTTCGCAATTGCGAAGCTCACAAATGTGACACTGGCGTTGCAAATGCGAACCTGCCGCATTCCTGCTACTATCGCAAATGCGAACCTTTGGTCGTAATTACAATGATCCCCCTACTTCGCATTTGCGAAGGTTGGTTCGCATTTGCGAACTCTGCTAGCCCAGCCTCCTGATTGCATTTGCAATGGAAGGCTCGCAAAAGCGGACCCTGCAGGGCTCGCAATTGCGATGCCTGATCTCGCAATTGCGAGATCAGGAGCCTGCAATAACTGAAGCATACCAGAAACATTTTCCTAAGTCCAAAATCATTCCGTAGCCTATCCAAAATTCACCCGAGCCCTCGGGGCTCCAAACCAAATATGCACACAAGTCTTATAACATCATACGAACTTGCTCGTACGATCAAATCGCCAAAATAACACCTAGAACTATGAATTCAACACCAAAACACATGAAATTTTCAAGATAGTTTCAAACTTCCTATTTTCTCAACCAAAGGTCCGAATCACGTCAAATCACTTTCGTTTTTCACCAAATTTCGCGGATAAGGGTTAAATATTATAACGGACCTGTACGGGGCTCCGGAACCAAGATACGGGCCCGATACCAACAAGATCAAATCATTTACATTATTGCATTTTCAGTCTTATCAATTTTCTTCAAAAATTCATTTCTCGAGCTAAGGACCTCGGAATTCGATTTCGGGCATACGCCCAGGTCCCATATTTTACTACGGACCCTACAGGACCGTCGGAACACGGGTTCAGGTCCATTTACCCAAAATATTGACCGAAGTCAACTAAAATCATCTTTTCTTAAGTTTTTCACATAAGGGATTTTTAGATACGCGCCCGGACTGCGCACGCAAATTGAGGAGGGATAAAATGAGGTTTTTAAGGCCTCGAAACACAGAGTCGGATTCTAAAACAAAAGATAACCCTTTGGGTCATCACACGTTTGTGTTGTTCTTCTATAGGCCTCCACCGAAGAAAAGGCCAGAGTCTCCAATGAAAGTATTGTTAGAAGACATGATGGTAAAAATTCTGTGAAGAAAATTTTTAGTTAGGAAGTTGAAGTTTGCAAGTATGGTTCTAAGGTAAATCAAAGAAGAAGAAGGAGTTGTAAAATGAAACAGTAAAAATTCAGAGTAATAGAGAAGTTATAGGCGGTAAAAATGGTGGTTATAATTACCATAAAAACTGACAAAAATATTTGCCAAATTGTGGAGTAACACGTGCTCGGGTCATTAAATGCGGAGAGGCGTGCGTCCTTTCAAATGTCAGAAGCTGTTCAAAAACTTGCCCGGTAAGGAAAGAGGTTTTCTCTACTTCCCGGTGATACTAAAGTACTGTCACTGAAAAGTAGATGGACTATCTATATACGGTAAAATTAGTTAATGATAGTTGGACGAATGAAGAGGTGAGACATGGAGCTGAAGATAGGTTGGATGTGAATCAGCGAATAATCGATACCGGTTGCAAACATGTGACCGGTGCTAAATGAATCCCAAAGGTAGAGTAGCCGATGACAAAGATTCAAAATATTGACATCGATAGCATTCAATGAGCAGCTGTTACAGAGAATATCTGCATTTATTGCCAACCGTTATGCAGCCATCAATGACGATTTTATTCTGGAGCTTGATTTGGGGATCTTGTCTCCCTAAATAAAGCTATAAATAGGGGAATTAACATCATTTTTTGAAAAAAATATTCTTTACATGAAAGCTACCTTCTGCTCTCAAATTATACAATTATTTTTCTTTGTTCTTAATACTGTTCATACTACTATTTCCGGTGAAACTTATCATACCAGCAGGCTTGTATTTTTTTAAGCTATCTTTACATTCTTAATTTCATTCTCGTTTGTTTCATATTATTCGATCAAATTAATTTACTTGTTTATAAACCACATTATAAATTCAAATATACCGTTACGAGTAAACACCCACCACCACTTATTGTTCTCAAAAGTCATCTCCCGCTTTGCATAAAAAGGAGGATCAAACTGAATCTTGTTTTACTTTTGTCTTTAAGTATAAAATAAAGAACTGAAAAATTGTGGTTCGTGCCCTGTGCTACACTAGTATATCGTATTACAAATTCATAAAATATAGGGACCTAATAAAGTTGGCAAATCTCACAAACACAAGGAAACTGAACCTAAATGACATCCACATTTCATTCTTTTGCGCTTGCAGTGGTGAAGCCTCGGGTAGTTCCAGCAACCTTGCAATAGCATGAACAATAGTTAGATGATGTAGAACTAATTGGAGAAAATCTTATTTCCTGGCTGATGCATTCCTATGTTTATTATAAGCACTAATCTTTCTCAAGAAAGTACCACGAGGAATGAATAACAAAAAGCAAAACATTAACCTAGAAAGTATAAATGTATAAAACCGACAATAGCGAATTTCAAAGGTGATGCAATGCAAGTTCCTAAAGACTTTGTTGTCGTGTTGACTTGTCTGTAATACTATCAATACATTTGGGGAAGTAATTATACATACAGTATTATTGCTCATTTATTAAGGAGTATTTGTCCTTGCTAAGTCTTGTGTTTTACAGTTTTAGAATTATTATATTCTCATTATCTTCTGACTGTTGTGCGCTTAAGATAATGAAATAGTAATAGATAATTCCAAACCCATTGGCAGTGAATGTCTGTTCCCCATTAAGGTCATTGAGGTTCCATCTCTATCATCTCACTCCTCTAAGTATCTATGCATTTTCTTTTGTTTCTCTTTTTCAGATTAGCTCAGAATTGAAAAACGTTTTATATTTCATCTAAATTCAATAAGGTTGAAAATATTCTAGTGTTTCTTCCTACATAATCAAATCAAATTAAAGGGAACCTTGTATTTCGTTAAAGTTTTCAGCTTTCTAAGCTCTTGTCTAGGTGTGTTCATAAAAATCCGAAAAACCTACCAAATCGAAAATCAAACCAAATCGACCAAAAATATCGATACTTTTTTGTTGGTTTGGTTTTGGTTTTGAATTTTAAAAACCGATCAAATTTGGTTTGGTTTTGGTTTTAATCAAAAAATAACTGAAAAAAACCGAACCAAACCGACTATAGGAGTAGCTATTTTAAATTTATTATTACACCTATATATATATGTATACTTTTATACAAAGTTTCAAAAATTTTATGGTAAATGTTAATCGTTTGCACTTTTAGTACAGTTCTTTACCTTTACATTCTAGTTTGATTGGTAGTTTTCTTTTGTTAACTGTAAGAATCCATTTCATATTAAAAATAATATATTTTAATTGAGTCCTTAAATTATTCATCACTATTTGATTCAATTATCATCAATATATCTTGGTAAATAATAAACTTCTCAAAGGGCAATTGATTTGATAGTGTTACGTTGAAAATGTAGTCGCCGAAACATGTGTTTGGTAGCGTATGTCTTATATTTAAGAAAAAACCGACAAATAACCGGAAAAATCAAAAAACCGACAAAACCCGACATAAACTGAATCAAGAAAAAACTTCTAAAAAAATTCTTAAAAAAGTGAATTTTTTTGTGTTTGGACATGAATATAATTTTGGGTTGTTTTTAAAGTTTGGTGAGTGATGAGTGAAAATTTTGAAAAAAAAAACTTTTTAAGAGCCCGTTTGGACATAAGAAATTTTTCCCTTTTTTCCAAAAAAATTTCACTTTTTTTCGAAATCAACATTTGTTCATAAAATTTCCAAAATTTAATTGAAGATGCATTTTCTAAATTTTCGAAAATTTGAAAAACTCCAAAAAGCTATTTTTCAAAATTTTTCTCTCAAAACTTCAAAAACAACCCAAAATTATATTCATGTCCAAAGACAACTCTAAATTTCAAATTCCATTTTCACTTGAAAAAATTTTTCACCCTATTTTGGAACTTTACAATTCTTATATATGTCCAAACGCCCACTTAGAATTTTTCAAATTTTCGAAAAATTTTAAAATCATCTCCAAGTGAAAATTCGAAATTTATGACCAGACAAGCAGATACTGATTTCCCAAAAAAAGTGAAGGAAAAAATTCTTATGTCCAAATAGGCTCTAGGAATCGTAATATCTGTCAGAAGTTGGAGCAGTGCAACAAGGACAGGGGAACGACAAACATGTTCCTTTTTATTGCTTCTATAAATTCCTTACACTCCTTACGTTTACTTACAAGTCATCTTTAAGTACACTTGAAGTTTGAGAAATGGGTATCTGCTTTCCATTTCATATTTTCCTTCTCCTCCTACTAACACTCACCAACGCAAATTTAGAAGGTGATGCACTGTATGCATTGAGAAGAGCAGTGAATGACCCAGATAATGTGTTGCAGAGCTGGGATCCGACTTTGGTGGATCCTTGCACTTGGTTTCATGTCACTTGTGACTCTCAAAATCGGGTCACCAGACTGTATATCCTCTCTTTTTTGTTTTTTTGACTGATTTATGCTCTGTTTAAATTGCTCATTCCAAGTTAATTAGTAAGAACATGTTATGCAGTGATCTTGGAAATGCTAAGCTGTCTGGAAAATTAGTACCTGAGTTGGGGAAGCTTGAGCGTCTTCAGTACCTGTAAGTGCATGCACTTCTCTTTTGCCTCCTTTAGTGCACTCAATTGTGCTTGTGTGAATATGTTTGTGTCAGGTATTTGTCCAAATTTTTTTATCATAATTGGGTTTCCTATCTCATGAAGGAAATGACAACATATTTACCATAATTGAGTTTTTTTCCTAAAAGGAAAATATAATTCTTCCATATTTGCCTAGTTCTTTTTCTTGTAGGAAAAGGTTTGGAGCTCTATTGTGTTTGCCTCTTCGTGAGATTGTTCTCTATTTTGTACTCTTTTTTTATTATAGTAGATTGCTCATCTCCGCCGTGGACGTAGGTCAGTTGACCGAACCACGTTAAATATTTGTGTCTCTTTTGTTGTCGAACTTATCATCGTTCAAGCTTTGCTTTGCTAGCTTCTGTATGACACCTAATTTTTTCGATCCTCTGACATGATAGTATACAATTTAGTGAAAGATGAAATCACTAAAGCTAAACGGAATAACTCGTTCTCAAAATTACAGGGAACTATACATGAACAACTTAGTGGGTCCAATTTCATCAGAACTTGGATTTTTAAAGAGTCTAGTGAGTCTTGATCTTTACCACAATAACCTCAGTGGCACCATTCCTCCATCCCTCTCCAACCTTTCCAATCTCAGAATCCTGTAAGTATTTACAACTAATCTCATTTTAATTACCTTATATAAATTATGGTTCCACCTGACGCTAGTCGCTACTGCTGGTTTAATTTATAGCCGACTCAATGGGAACAGACTAACAGGAAGAATACCAAGGGAACTTACCAAGCTTGCAAATCTCAAGATTATGTGAGTTGAAACATACATATTGTTGGGTGTTTGTCTTGATTTTCTTATCATATTTGGTTTTTCTATCTCTTGAAGGAAAGGGCAACATGTTTACCATAATTGAGCTTTCCTTCTTGTAGAAGAAAATTATAAATCTTTCACATTTGGCTAGTCCTTTTCTTTGAATAAAAAAGTTTGAACTTCTATAAATTGAGGATCCTTCCTTCTCATTCATTAGCATCCACAATGTAGCCATAAGGGGTTTGAGAGTTGTATTTAGGGGGAGAACTTTACGGGACAAGTGTTAGTGTGTCACTTGTGTTTGCCTCTTCGTGAGGTTATTCTCTCGATATTTGTACTTTCTTTTATTACAGTGGATTAGTCATCTCCGCCTGTGGACGTAGGTCAATTGGTCAAACCACGTTAAATGTTTGTCTCTCTTTGTTGTATGATTTATCATTGTTGACGGTTTGCTTGCTAGCTTACGCATGACACCTGATTTTTTCGGTGCTAAACACATATATAGTAGTAGTAATATCTAAATAGATGCATGCCAAATGCAATTTCAGGTTCCAACTCATTAATCCTTTTCTGTATATATATGCAGTGATGTGTCCGACAACGATTTATGTGGTTATATTCCTACCTCCGGCACCTTCTCTAAGTTCACCGAGGAAAGGTGAATCAGCTAGCTTTTTGAACTTATTTATTAGGTCTTCTATACTTGCTTTTTCTATTTAGTATTTATACTAATTAACTTTGGGTTTTCGGATTGCAGTTTTAAGAATAACCAAAGATTAGAAGGGCCTGAGCTAATGGGATTTGTGAGATATGACGCAGGAGGCTGTAACTAAAAGCATATGAGAAGCAGATATATTCCTAGATCTCTGCATAGGAATATGTAAACATTTTAATTAATATAAACCCTAGAAGAGCAAAAGTATATATTTAGGGTTGTGTATGGAGGATCTCGCTCCATGTAGTATAAATATCAATACCCTACGAATCTACGATTGCTTTAATGGGGCAGGGCATATACCAATTGCTGGAAATTAGGATTTGGTCTCCATTTTCTCCTTTGAAGGAGTGAAGTATTAAGATGACTTGCGCAGCTAATTACCTAAAATTAATTTCTTTCAGTTGGTGCATAATTCTTTTTCTTAGGAAATTTGAATGATTTATGCAACCAAGCAATGAAGAATATTTATATCAAGAGAAACATTCTATTACATTCTTTGGGAAATATTTTTGCTTTCTTAGTCGTAGGCGAATACAAAATTTAACTAGCTAGATTTCGAAATTGTTGAATTCAAAGTTTATTTATATTTTACTAATTTAGTACATTTTTTAAGGTCCGCCTAAATTAAGTGCTTCATCTCGAATATATACATCATCCTTAGAGTCCCTCAAAAGACACCCGACGATCTTTACATCCACTTTATTCACGTGGTCCTAATTTCTCTTTTCTTTCTTATAAAATTTTTCCTTCTCTGCAATCAATCATCCTTCTATGGCGTCGGGTCTTGGACCCTACATGCTTAAGCACAATCGGTCTGTAACGATCCGATCGGTCGGTTTGAGCATTCACACTTCGCTCGGTAGTTTAGGGGCACGAGTAGCTCCGTATGATGTATTAGGACTTATGTGTAAATTTTGAGTTCATTTCGAGTTGAATTGATATGTTTCGGCGTGATTTTTTGGAAGTCGAAAGTTCGAAAGTTCATTATCTTTGATTTGAGGTGCGTTTCGTCGTTTCGATATTGTTATGTGTATTTTGAGGCCTCGAGTAGGTCCGTACTATGATATGGAACTTGTTGGTATGTTTCGACGGGGTCCCGAGGGGCTCAGGTGAGTTTCGGATAGGTTTGGGTTGTGTTGCGCTCGTTTTTCTTATGTTTCGACGTCATTTCTTCAAGCATAAATGGTACCACATTGAATAAATGAGCTCCGATTTCTGTTTTAATTGAAGCATTAAATCCGTATCGTAATTATGGAGCCATAGCAAAACGAATCGTCAAATTTGGACATCGTATAAGGATTTTATGATCATTTTACTAAGAATTAGGTTGTTAGATTTTTCAGATTAATTACAAAATTGCCACTGATTGCGTATTTAAAAATTTGCACTATTTTCAAATACTGAAACCAATATATCTCCTTCAATATAAGGTCAAATGGAGTGATTCAAGAGCCTAAATTTACTAGAATTTCACAAGGAATCCATTGGAGGCATCAAGGGTGAGTTTCGAGATCTTTTGGCACAAGAAGTGAGGCAGAACAGTGTTCAAACGAGGGTTTTGTGCATTTAACATATTTTGAGTTGGGGAGCTCGGAATTGGGCAATTTTCAGCATATGAATTGGGGTAAGTGTTCTCTGCTCGGTTTTGGTTATATTTCGTGAATCTATCTTCGATCTTAGCTTTTGGTTGATGAATTTTAAAGAAGAAATTGGGGGTTTTGGCCTAAAGTTTCATAATATGAATTTCTGAATTTGAACACCGATTCGGAGTTAGATTTGAGTGAAACTAGTATGGTTGAACTCGTAATTGAATGGGTTGACGGATTTTGTGAGTTTTGTCGGGTTCCGAGGTGCGGGCCTGGGTTGGGCTTTTTGGTCGATTTTGGGCTTTTGATTAAAGATTCGACCTTTTTCGATTGGGATTGGTTCCTTTAGCATTGTTTGATGTATTTGAGTTATTTTTGATTAGTTTCGAGCCGTTCGGAGGTCGAAACGCGCGTTACGGCATTCTTGGAGCATCGCTTGGCTTGCTCGATGTCGGAATTGGCTTGTTTAAGATAAGTAACTCTTCTAAACTTAGTGTTGAGGGTATAAAACCCCAAATTACGTGCTATATGATTGATGTTAAGGTGACGCACATGCTAAGTGAGGGGCGTGTGGGTATGCACCCAGTGAATTGTGACTCTATTGTTTCCAGGGCACTGAATAGTGGCCTATTTTATTGATATATGTGATTGAACCATGTGATAAAATAAATGAGTTGTACATTATGCTAGATATCATGTTTAGGCCTTATGCTGATATTGTTGAGACCCATAGTGGTCATTTCTTGCTGTCATCTCATTAAATTCATTGATATTTCGTACTCAGTCACATCCATGCATTCATATCATATCTCAGTCTCAGTTGTCACTTATTGATACATCATACGTTGTTCGGGGTCAGTTTTCATGACATTGTGAGCCCGTGGGTGAGACTGGAGAGATTGATGACTGAGTGAGGCCGAGAGCCTGATTATGAGTGACAATTATGGGATCGGGCTGCGCGCCGCAGCATGTTTTATTAATTATTGAGTAAGGCCGAGGCCTGATAGATTTATACCATGATTGGCTTGTTATAGCGCTTGGGCTGAAGGAGCCCCTCCGGAGTCTGCACACCCCCAGTGAGCGCGGTTGATTATATTCAGGGATGGATCTTCCCTTGGTATGGAGATGGATCTTCTCCATGAGGCTGGATTGGCCTGTTTCCTCGGTACTGGGTGACTTATAATCAGTGATGTATATATTCTGGGATGGATCTTCCCTGGGCCATATGGGCCATATACAGTACCGAGTGGTTGAGCATGATGAGTGGAAAATGTGAGGCCGTGAGATTGAGTACTTTAAGAGTGTGAGTACATGATTCATCTCAGAGATACATGGCATTGGCATGCATACATGATATACAGGCATAGAGATGCATTTTTTCCTCATGATGTACGGTATCACGTCATTCATGACTAGAGAGGTATTTCACACTTGTTATCTGGAAAGAAAATGAAACATCTTATTATTGTGAAAAGGATTTTTAGAAAAATTACAGTTTTCAAACTATCTCATATTTCATGATGTTTTCGGTAAAGAATTTGGGTTTTTCACTGATATTCTTGAAGGGCGGGCTATTATTTGGAAAAATATGAAAAGACTGAGCATTCTATCTCTGAGCTGCTTCTTTACGTACTTGCTTTACACTGCTGTGAACTGCTATTGGTTATTGGTGTCGGACCCGACCTATGTTCCAGTTTGTCACTGCTTTCAACCTGAGGTTAGGTTTGTTACTTTTTGATTACATGGGTCAGTTGTATTCATACTGCACTTCCTGCACATTGCGTGTAGATCGCGGATGCCGATGTTGTTGCGTTTGATGGTTGCTGGATTTGGAGGCGTACCTGTGTTCCTGCTGCAGCTGCGTCTTGTTCACGATAGCCGTAGATTACAAAATTTTGTTTATGTTCTTTTCAAACAGAGGATGTATTTTCTTCATATCAGCTTTGTAAATTCTATTCTTAGAAGCTCATGATTCGCACTACCAGTCCTTGGGAGGTGTAATAGATCTAGATAATTTATATTGTTTAACTAATTCATTAGCATTGTTGAAATTGAACTAGTTAGTAGTTAGCTTACCTAGCGGGTTGGGATTAGGTGCCATCAGGACTAGTGGATTTTGGGTCGTGACATGGTCCTATATCGAGCTCGACGAAGTAAACATGAACTCAAAAGGGACCACTTCCTCATTGATTACTTGCTAGTACATTCGGTCACTACCCAAAATTTCACATATTGTGATGGAGCCTATCGTAATACTAGGCAAACCGACAATCACAAATAACCACGCATCTTTAAATTTAAAACATAACGAAATAAGCTTAATAGTAAAATCTCATGATTATAAGAAAGTACCGCAACTAGAAAATCCCCCAAAATCCGGGTGTCACTGAGTACATGAGAATCTAAATGACAACATAGTCTGACTACTAAGACATTGTCTAGAAAGATAGAACAATACTAATAAACTGAAAAGAAGGAGAGTCAAGGTCTGCAGACGCCAAGGCAGCTACCTCAATAGTCGTTGAATAGATAAAGCTCCAAAGATAACAACCGTCGTGCCCAGAAGTACCTGGATCTGCACATGAAGTGCAGAGTGTAGTATGAGTACAATCGACCCAATGTACTTAATAAGTATCGTAAATAAACACGGCAAGGAAAAAGGAGCACAAATTATTAATGATACTAGCTATCACCTGTGTAGTTTCATTTTTAATTTCGATACAGACTAATATCGAAATAAACTCATCAAGGTTAGTGAGAAAACATCCATGTGTGTATGTGTACAGTTTCTCAATTACTTTGATCAGAAAATATCATGGCATACAGAGGTGATATGCAGCTGAATCAGATAAATGATCAAGGAAATTGCAAGTAAAGTTGAAATGCAAAATCCAACAAAACACTGTCCAGATTCCCTCAACTTTCCATATCCGTTCCAAACCACTGATCAGTATTCTCAATAACCGCGTGTACACCATCAAGAGAGAAACATAAGAGGGTAACCCTAGGGGGATGGATCCATATCCACACGCAAGCACGAACAATTCAATGTGTTGCCAACGCGACGTGATCACATGCTCAATATCATAACTCGCCTGGCGTGGTCACAGGCATAACAATACAATCTATGCGGCATGGTCACTAGCATATCAACACAATTCTCCCGGCGTGGTCACATGCATATCAACACATCCGCTCGGCGCGGTCAAATGTTGTCACGACCCAAACTGATGGGCCGCGATGGGCACCCGATACCTTACTCAACCGAGTACCAACATAACGTATCTTTTCGTATCATGCTATTATAGGTAAATGAGGAGAAAGGGCTGCCGTAGGATAGCTAGAACAAAACATGTAATACCAACTTATACATAAGACATACGCCCTATAAGACCAAAATGATCACTCATACTCTACATATGCCGACGAGGCCATACAATCTTTTACGTACATAACATATGTCTACAAGCCTCTAAGAGTAGATAAATACCATAAAGGTCGGGACAGGGCCCCGCCATACTAAACAATACACGTCCAAATTATACTGACCAAATAAGCAACTCCGGAGCAAATAGAGCGCACCAACATCTTCTGTTGAGCTGATAGCCTACTTAGAGGACTCTTGACCTGTCTATCAGAACCTGCGGGCATGAAACGTAGTGTCCCCAAGCAAAAGGTACGTCAGTACAAATAATATACCGAGTATGTAAGGAATGTGTTTGGCTCAAAAGTTAACAATATACTTTGTAAGCTAAAAAACAATCAAAAGTAGGAAAGGGGTAAATCGTAATCAAATATAATAATCCTAGAGATGCAAAGATGATAATATTGTTGTAGATCTAGTATTGCAAAGAGACAGTCTGAACTCAATAAGATACGTTCGTTTGAAGTAGAGATAGAGAGA